TTCCAAAGGTCCTGAGTTCAATTCCCGGCAACCACATGGTGGCTCACAACCATCTGTAATGAGGTCTGGTGCCCTCTTCTGGCCTGAAGACATACACACAGACAGAATATTGTATACATAATGAATAAATATTTTAAAAAAAAAAACAAAAAAATATAAATCCTTGTTAAACACTTCATTTAAAAATATGCAGCTTTATTTTAAAATGCAGTATGCTCAAAAATGGCAGTTAATGTCTCCCATATACGTTGTTTCTTGAGATACACATTTTCTTATACATTATAAAATGCTTTCAGCTAAATGTTTCATGAAAATTCTCAAATGATTGTCAAGAGTTTGTTATAAGCCCATCACAACACTAAATATTCAGAGCTAAAAGGTAACAGTTTGTGAACTATTAAGATTCTCATGTGATGCAAGTCACAGGAACATATATATAAAGACAGCTGAGTGGTAAATCAGTAGTAGTTCTTGCTTTTATTTAGGGGACAAGATTAGACATAAGTTTGCTCTAAACGGAACAACCGTTTGCAAACTACAAGAGAAAGAGAGTGATAAAGGTTGCTGGCCATCAGTGCTTCACACACCCTACTTTAAGATATTTCTCGAAGAGAAATATCCACATTAAGGTCAGCAACAAGCTCTTAACCACTGAACCATTGTCTCAAGACCTCTTTAGTTTTTATGGCAATCACTGTAGCCCTGATGGGCCTCACACTTGTGAGCTACTGGTAGTTTTCTTTTCTACCTTTGCATGATGGCAGTACCGCAGAACACTGCCACACTGTTTGGGGAAATAGCTCTGTGGGTAAAGGAGTCTGTTGCTAAGCCTGATGAGCTTCATTCAATGTCTGGAACTCACATAGCAGGAGAAAATCAGCTCCATAAGCACACCATGACATGGCAGGCATCCATCTAGATATTGATATATAGATACATATGTAGAAGGCTATGATGGTGCTCAACACAGTGGTACACCTAATCCCAGCACCTAGGAGGCAGAGGCAGACAGAGATGTATGAGTTCAAGACCAGTTTGGTTTAAATAGTGAGTTCCAAGACAACCAGGGATACAGATGCGCTCTTTTGGGTGGAACACAAATACACACACACACACACACGAGAGAGAGAGAGAATAAATAACTATGTAAAGGCTGTTGCCCAGCCCCTGATACTTCTGTTTGATGGCCAGAATTACCACCATTTTCTACTTTCGAAGCTCCCCCCACCCATTGGCCTTAAACTGAGAGATCTTGGGTACTGTGAGTGAAGGTGTGCACCACCTGGTAAGGCAGGCCTTCGTTTCTTACGTTTTTATACAGGTATATGTGATATATTGTCCTCCCATTTCTCTTTTCCTCTTTTTTAGTGCCTTTTCTCCCCATACAGGTTTAGCTGTACATACATGATTTTATATGTTTCTATTAAAACTATATTTTTTGAGAGAACATACTGTATCTTTCTGAGACTGGCTTGTTTTTATATGATTATCTCTAGTTACATCTATTTTCCTGAAAATGATATAACTTTATTCTTCATGTCTGAAAAAGATTCCACTGTGCATATATGCATTTTATTTACCCATCCCTCTGTTGCTGGCTGCCTAGTTTCTGTATTTTAGCTGTTATAGATAGCTTTACCATAAACATGGTTGTAATGTATCTCTATGGTATGCTGATTTGTTGTTTTTTTTTATTTTATGTGTATGAGTGTTTGCTTGCATATATGTCTGTATATCACATACATGCCTGTTGACCTCAGATGCTAGAAGAGGGTGTCAGATCCCATGGGACTGGAGTTACAGGTGGTTGTGAGGTATTCTGGGTGCTGGAAGCCGAACCCTGGTCCTCTCCACAAGAGCAGTAAGTGTTTAAAATCATTGATTTATCCATCTCTCTGGCCCCTGACAAAGTAAAAGACACCCCCTTTTCTGTACTCTCCTGTGGAAGCAGCCTTAGCATGCATAAGGGTCTGGTACCACAAAATTTTAAATTTCTGTATGTGAAGCAAATACAGTTTTGGATCTCTAAAATGTTCCAGTCAGGTGAAAGGACACTATGTATTATAGTCTGGTTTTCTTTCTCCTGAGACTTGGTTTCATGTGACACAGGGTGGCCATGAACCGGCTGTGTGGTTAGTAGTGCTTGATCTTCAGCTTCCTGTTAATGGGCCTCATTTTATTATTATGTCCTCTTTTCCTTAGGTTTTAGGGATTATTAATTTAGGGTGATATATTAGGGGGTAATAATTGCTAAAAGTATTTTATAGCATCACAAGAAAAACTAACAGGAATAACTAACAAAATACTTAAATTTAACCATAATGGCTGTGGCCAACTTGCTTACCCTATTTTTTTTTTTTTTTTAACTAAGGGACTAATTTTTCTCACCTGTAAATTCAGTTGAAGGGTTCTTTTGTGAGTTGGGGATGTAGCTCAGTAGTCTATATAAGGCCCAGCTATTGTTTTAAGTCTTTGGATTCTAGTTCTGTTGTAATTCTCTCGAACAAGAAAAGTTACATAGTATCATTAAAATACTTTCCCTCTCCCTCTTCCTGTTGCTTCTTTCCCTCAAGAAATTTTAATTAACTGTACAGTGCCTGATGGTGGAAAAGCTTTGTCCAAAGTGCTTCTAGATGAGGGTGGTTTGCCTTGCTTGGTCTGCTGTAAGGAGAACCTACTCTTGCCCCTCCCCTCTGCCAGTGAACTGTGATCCTGTTAGGTGGTCCTAAAATGCTATTGATTAATTCACAGCTTTTAGAGGAATAAGCCTAAATTTTAGACTTTAAATCAAAGAACTAACTCCCTTGAGCTCTGAAAGCCTTGGCCGTGGGGCCGAGGGAGGGAGGTGCCTGCCAACTTCTCCACCCAGTCTGCAGTGAAAAGGAAAGTTAAGCCTTTTAACTTTTTCATTCGCCTCTCCCTCTTAGTCTCGTGAGGCTGCCAGTTGTCATGGCAACGGACTGGGACAGCTGCGCAGTGGCGCCCAGGCAGCTGCGTGGGGGCGGGGGAGCTGCCAACCCGCCTAGCCCCAGACCTGGGAGGGGAGGCCCCTCCTGTTAGCCCAGAGGGAAAGAACGAACTGGGGCGATCCGGTAGGTAATGGACGGAACCCCCTATTGATCTACTTAGGGCTTTTCTTCAGCATGAAGATATAAAGAAAAAAAATTATCTTCCTCCCTCTGTAGAACACATATGTAAATCCTTGTGTTTTTTTCCCCTGGTGAGGCAGGGAAGGCCATAGCCACAATGCTTAGCTGCATGCTTCCAACATGGGGCTGGTTTTAACCCAGCGCTCTGGCTCTGACCTAAACTGCTCAGCTCACGGAAATTCCAAGGTGAGTGGGGGTGGGGGTGGGGTGCTCTCACTGGAAATGGCATTTCCTGTCTGTGGTGAGGTCGGTGGCTGTTCATTTTAAATAAACCATATATATATACATATATGTGTGTGTGTGTGTGTGTATAATTTTTTGATGCCTGGGAGTCTTCCAAATTAATGGAAAGATTATTTGAAAGTCTTATACCTACATTCCCCCGTGCCTTCTCAGATAAAGTTATTATAGGTCAAAAATTAATACAAGCAATTTCTGAGGCTGGCCTACTTAGTGCTAATAAGTTCTGTAGGTAGGATTTTTAACACTATATTCCTGTAATGGGTTTCTTAAGTTACTAATTCAAAATAAATTGATAAATACAACTTCTTCTTCTTTTGACTTTAAAATTGTGAAATTAGTTGCCCTTTCTATTCCCGAGGTCGACTTTCTGGCCAGGATGGGAATGCTTTGAAAAACATGTTTAGAGATTTATAGCAAAATTACAATGAAGTCAACTAAAATATCAATTTCTGCTATTTGGTAATCCAGACTATAGGTGCCATTTAACATGATTAAGGACTGTGGTTCAACAGTGTGGGAATTTTAAAAACTAGATTCTCTGTTGAATACCCCTGACATGCATATTTCTGAGATTAACTCAGTTTCCATTTGTGCCACATTGCCCTGGCTTTCCTGGGCGATGAATAGTCCGCTGTGTTCTGCATGTTGGTGCAGAGGCTGGGGCCAGACTTTTCCCCTCCTCTTACTTTGGCCCAAAGTCAACTTCAGTTAAGGAGCAAGGTACCTCCATAACTATTTGGTTTAGTTGAGCCCTGGGAATTGCAGGCTAGTCCAGTGACTAACTTTGAACTTTTTCTCTGCCCTTTATCCCCCCCCCCTTTTTTTTTTTTTTTTTTGATTTTTCAAGACAGGGTTTCTCTGTAGCTTTGGAGCCTGTCCTGGAACTAGCTCTTGTAGACCAGGCTGGCCTCGAACTCACAGAGATCCGCCTGCCTCTGCCTCCCGAGTGCTGGGATTAAAGGCATGCACCACCACCGCCCGGCTCTTTCTTTCTATTCCCAAATGAGCTTGTTGAAAAGGAGGCTTAGTGTGTCTGAGCTGTTAGCCTGGCTTTTGTGAGCTGATGAACACGCTGAAAGGACAGGCTCAAGCATTTTAAGGAAAATGTACCAAGTCCCTAGAAATGTGGTGAGAGATGGCCTAGGAGGTGTGTGTGCTGCTAAGGGACTGCTCAGAGTACAGAGAAACTACTTTTCAGTGTTCTGAGGGGGAAGGTTTCTTTTTTCTTTTTCTTTTTTTTTTTTTTTTTTATTTTGTCTTGGTTCCTTTAATTGAAGGTTTCCCACATTTCTCTTTGAGTTCCTGGCTCACAAGTAGATGCAGAAACAGTCAAGAGTAACATACCATGCTATTTGCCTTTTTAGAATATAAAATTAAGGGAGTTAAACAATTGTGCCATCTTATAATTTTGATCTTTTCATCTGAAGAGAAGTTGTTGTTAGGGAAATGCGCGGATTGACCCATTTACAAAATAAATTTGTAGCCCTGTCTTAAAATAATTGTACACCAAAAAGAAGGGTATGCGGTTGATGTGTGTCCTCTATTCCATTAAGAAGTGACAGTTTTAACCCTCGTGGATTGTAACCATTTTGTCTTTCCCCTTCTCAGGAACCTGGTGGCCTTAGTCCTTCAGGTGAATCAACGTGCGACATGGGAAAGAAAACCAAGAGGACAGCTGACAGTTCTTCCTCAGAGGATGAGGAGGAGTACGTCGTGGAGAAGGTGTTAGACAGGCGCATGGTTAAGGGGCAAGTGGAGTACCTGTTGAAGTGGAAAGGCTTTTCCGAGTAAGTGCTTTCTTTTCCAGGCATTAGAACTCTGTAGAGGTAGAAACCTTTGGTTTACTTGCCCATGAGCCAGTGTCTACCTTTTTCCCATTTACACACAAAATAAGAATCAAGAGAAGCAGCAGACCACATAGTCTCCCCATCATGGAGCTGATGTTTAATGATCTTATTTTGAAGGATAATGTAAGGAATGGTTGGGAGCACAGACTTGGGAGCCAGATTTTCTGGATCAGATTCTTAGTTCACCCTTTAAGATCAGGTGGATGAGCTCACCTAATTTCTTTTATTATTGTTATTTAAGAAATTCTTTTCTTGCCAGGTAGTGGTGGTACACACCTTTATTCCCAGCATGGGGCGGGATAAAGGGGGGGCAGAGGCGGGAGGATTTCTGTGACTTTAAGGCCAGCCTGGCCTATAAAGCAAGTTCCAGGACAGCCAGGGCTCAAAGAGAAACCCTGTCTTGAAAAACAAAAATAAATAAATAAATAAACTTTTGTTATTTTGTGTGTATGAGTGACTTGCCTGTGTTTGTATCTATGCACTGCATTTGTGTTGTCTGGTGCCCACAGTCCAGAGAGGGCATTGCAGCAGTTAGAACAGGAGTTACAGATGCTGTGAGTGGTCGTTTGAATGCTGGGAACTGCAGCAGTTAGAACAGGAGTTACAGATGCTGTGAGTCGCCGTGTGAATGCTGGGAACCAAACCATGGTTCTTTGGAAAAGCAGGCAGTGCTCTTAAACACTGAGCCATTTCTGCAGTCCATTGGCTGATTTCATAATCTTTTTTTCCCCTTTAATAAAATAGGAATAAGCCGGGCAGTGGTGGCACATGCTTTTATTCCCAGCACTTGGGAGGCAGAGACAGTCCTCTGTGAGTTTGAGCCGGGTCTACAGAGTAAGCTCCAGGACAGGCTTCAAAGCTACTACAGAGAAACCCTGTCTTGAAAAACCAAATAAAATAAAATAAAATAGGGATAAGAGGTGGGTGTAGCTTAGTAGTAAAGTGCTTTCACCTGGCATACTCAGGTTTGATCCTGAATTTGATCTTCACATATGCCAGGAAAAGAAAAAAAAAAAGATAAAACCAGGGTCAAGGATATAGTACTTAGAGGTCTCAGTAAGTGTGAGTAGACAGCTTGTCATTGCAAGTCTGAACATTTGAGTTTAGATCACGAGAACCCGAGAGAGATGTGGGACAGGTGAGAATCCCTGGAGGCCTGAGGGACAACGAGCTTGGCGTATACAGCGGTGAATAAGGGAACCCGTTCAAACGAGGTAGAAGGCAAAGGACCCTTGACAGGAGAGGAAGCTAAGTTGGGGCAGGTAGGAGTTGGGAGCACTAGTTTTTCCCCTGAATCCAGGTGGCTAGGTTTGGGTCTAGCTCTGGCCTATGCCAGTAGCTAAAAAGCCTCAGGCAAGCGGCTTTTTTTGTGAATTCGTACCCCAAATGTTGGGTGCCAATTGTAGCACGATTAATAAAAACCCAGAGACAGATATTGGGGTTTGACCTGAAGTTCAGAGAGTAAAAGAGCCGCACTGATCAGCCTTACAGATCAGGCATTGGTGACACACACCTTTAATCCCAGTAGCCACACTAGTTTGCCATAGAAACCTAGTGGTAGTGCACGCCTTTAATCCCAGCTTTAGAGAGGAATATAAGACGGGAGGAGACAGCTCTCACTCATAGTCTCATTCTGAGATTCCTGGAGGCGGGATCACCAGAGGTAAGAGCCAGTGGCTGGCTGTTTTACTCTTCTGACCTTTAGGTTGAACCCCAATATTTGTCTCTGGGTTTTATTAATTGTGCTACGAGGACCAACAACTGAGGGATCTCTGACCTCCAGTTCTGCACACCCACACTCACATGCAAACAAGCAGGAATGTATACCTAATACATATACATGTACATACATACTAAAAGATTGTTTTGTTCTTATTTTTAATCTGTAAGGGACAGTCAAGTTCTTGCTTTGGTTGTATGCAGGATATCTGAACCTGGCTGGCCTGTAGCCTTCAGTTTTGTCTTTGCCTCCCATCTTGCAGTAGGAACACCAGCTCATCCAGCTTTTTATGTGAGTTCTGGGGATCGAACTCAGATTTTCAGGCTTGGATAGCAAGTGTATTTACTTACTGAGCCAATTCCAAAACCTGACATCACAGCTTTAAAGTGTAGGGCTTCAGGAGAGGATCTATAGCTCAGTAAAACAGTGTTTGCCTGGTGTATGTGAGGCATTGGATTTTGTTCTCTTAGTTTTTTGTTTATTTGACTGATTGATTTCTTGAGGCAGGATTTCACTGTGTAACAGCCTTGGCTGCCCTGGAACTTGCTTTGTAGACCAGGCTGTCCTGGAACTCACAGAGAAACGCCTGCCTCTGCCTCCCAAGTCCTGGGATTAAAGGCGTGGGCCACTATCTAGCTGTGTTTTATTCTCAATACCACAAAAAACAAACATAGAAATAAAACGCAACAAAAACAATGGGTATAACTAAATTTGCTAAAAGAGTCAATGTTTCCCAGTCCTTTAAAGTTAGGACCCTTCAGGACCTAGTGAAAGTTATTTCATTATATTATTTAGCATTTTTTTCATATGGATCACTGGGCATATATTCATGTATAACACAGAGTACTATTTTTATACCAGGTCTCATAGCCCAGACTAACCTATGATGCCCACAGATGAAGTGCAGTACTAGGATTCTGGGCTACCACACTGGATGTTGTAGCACTTTGTGTCTGTAGCAAGGATTCTTCCCAGCCGAGCTCCGCCCTGAGCGCTGCTCCATCACCGTATTTCTAGAGAGGAATAGCAGCACTACTTATCAAGTATGAAAACCATGGGCTGTGAGTGAGAGATAGGACATACTTATAAAGCCATAGAAATAATACTTATCATTTAAATACACTGACTTAAATAGTCTTATGGCTGAATTGACACTAGAAATACTTGTATGTTTGAAGAGGCTTAAAACAGTGTGAACTTTTGGTACTTAACAGAGGTACAGAGCAGAGGTGAAAGACAAAACTAGGGTAGATAGATTAAGAATGTCACAAATAAATGCCTGGGATTGGGACTGGAGACTTGGCTCAGTAGTTATAAGTGCTCCTTGCTCTTTCAGAGGACTACAGTTAGGTTCCCATTGCCCTTGTACCACAGCTCACAGTGGCCTCATTTTTACATTTAGTGAAAGAATTTAAATAAAATATTTTTATTTTGTTTGTTTGGTTGGTTTTTTTTTTCAAGACAGGGTCTCACTATGTATCTCTGGCTGCCCATGGAGCTCTCTTGATAGACCAGGCTAGCCTCAAACTTAGATATCTGCCTGTCTCAACCTCCAGAGTGCTGGAAATCAAAGGTCCGTGCCACTACACCCAGCAAATAAAATCTTTTTAAGGAGCAAATGCCTGGGGTTTCATAAAAGGGTAGAATTAATTTTTTTGTCTTCTGAGCATTGTCTGCAAGAGAATACCTAGCTATGTACCATGGTACCATCCATATCTAAACTGTTGTGATAAGACTTTGTTATTCAAGTACAAGGTTAGCCGTAGAAACTAGGAATTTGTCTTAGTTGGTGGAGTGCATGCCTAGCATATACTAAACTATGGATTTGATCCCTAGCACCGCACTACTGGATAAACCAGGCTGTGCCCCTCCCCCCAAAAAAATTTTGGTGGATTGATGTGTTGGTGTGCTTCTTAGAAAATATGTTAAAGCACAGCATTGGTGGCGAATGCCTTTAATCCCAGCACTCAGGAAGCAGAGAGAGACAGGTGGACTCTCTGTGAGTTCAAGGCCAGGCTGGTCTTGTTCTAGGACAGGCTCCAAAACTACACAGAGAAACACTGTCTCTAAAAACAAAACAAAACAAACAAAAACAACAAGAAAAGACTTATGTGTATGAATTCTTTGCCTGAATGTCTATATGTATAGCTTGTATATTGTACATGCCTCATCAGAGGAGGGAATCAGAACCCCTGGAACAGGGCTGGGGAGATGGCTCCATGGTTAAAGAGCACTGACTGCTCTTCCAGCTTCAAATCCCGGCACCCACATGGCAGCTCACAGCTGTCTGTAACTCCAAGACCCGAGACCCTCACTCAGACGTACATGTAGACAAAATTCAATGCACATAAAATAATAAAAATAATGATTTTAAGCTACCACATAGACATTGGGAATCATATCCAGGCCCGCTACAAGAACAAGTGCTCTAAGTCACTGAGCCTCTTCTCCAGCTTCCTGTTATTTTTTTGGTTTTCCGAGACAGGGTTTCTCTGTGGCTTTGGAGCCTGTCCTGGAACTAGCTCAGACCAGGCTGACCTCGAACTCAAACAGAGATCCACCTGCCTCTGCCTCCCGAATGCTGGGATTAAAGGCGTGCACCACCACTGCCCAGCCACTTCCGCAAATTCTCAATCAGAAATGTCACACAAACTGCCCCAGTAGAATCTTTCCCACAGAAATGTCACTAGCTAACACCACTCAGCCTTTGAACCCAAGGTTTCGTTTTAGCAACTTTTGTCAAGCTGAGGGCAGGTTACAGATGCTGCCTGTATGGCTTACAGACTTATTTTTTTGCTTCTGTGATTCATTACAGGTTACAGGTGTGTCTCAAATAAAAACAAACTTGTATTTTCTGTCTAACCGAAGAATTATGTCTCTGGGTAGGGAAAGGGGTGATAGTTTTCTTGCTGTAATTTCACAAGATTGTTGTAGTTTTAACTTTCTAGAACCCATGCTATAAATAGAAAATACAGAGGACAACCTTGAGAATATCAAAACTGAAACACACATGTTGGTTCTTTCCTATAATCTATTTGGAAGGCTGAGTCAGGAGAACTGCCGAGAGTTCAAAACGATCTTGGACTACATTGTAAGACTGTCTTTAAAAATTCAGGGGATGTGTGCGTGTGACAGTGCACACCCCTAATCTCAGCAGAGACAGTTGAATCTATTAGAGGCCATCCTGGTCTACCTAGCAAGTTCCAAGACAGCCAGAGACCCTGGGTTAAATGAAAAAAAAAAATAATAAAATAAATAGAAACCCATAGAGAAGGCTGGGAATATCTCTCAGTAGAGTGTTTGCTTGAGATAGCTAGAGCCCTGAGCTGGGCCTGGTGCCACATAGAGGTGTGGTGCCACGTGCCTGTGAACCCAGTGTTCAGGAGGGGAGAAGTTCAAAGTTATCCTTGACTACAACATAGTTTGAGGCCAGCCTGGTCTATATGAGACCCTTTTCTCCCAAAAACTTTTTTTCTACATCATAGGGCTTCCTGTTTTGTTTGATCATACTGTTTCAGATTTTGTGTATCGGTATGTGCACCCTTGCATATGTGTGCGCGCACACACACAGACAACTTGTTGACAGGAGACTTGAGTATCACATTTGAATTAATGCATTCCACCTCTTACTTGCTAGAGTAACATCTACCACAATAGAAATTGGAGGTATGTAACTTTATTAAGTTAACCTCTTTCTACAGGCACCTGATGTCTGTATAAAATCACACTCTTTTGGCACTTAATTAAGCAGTTAAATTTAGGGTTTTTTTGTTGGGAAGCTGTGCGATGGATTGAACCCATGAGCCTGACTATGACTGGAACAAACATGCTTACCACTGAGCTATTTGCCCACTTTATAAACTGGGTCTGCTTGTTGTTGTTTTTGTTTTATTTTTCAATTGTGTGTACCTGCCTGCCTGCCTGCCTGTCTGTGAGGGGTGTGAATGCTGTACAGGTGCCTCAGAAGGCACTAGATTCCCTATAACTGGAGTTACAGATGTTCAGGTCCTCTGCAAGAGCAAGGTTAAGCACTCTTAACCACTCAGCCATCTCTCCAGCCCCAAAATTGGAAGTTTTTAAAAAGTTTATTATGGTGTAATTTATGTACCATGAGAGTATCACCCACACCTGGTGTGCACACCTTTAGTCCCAGCACTAAGGAGGCAGAAACAGGCAGTTCTCTTGAGTTTGATGCCAGCCTGTTCAACACTGGCTGAAATTGTACAATTTGATGTTTTCTGTTTTATTTTTGAGATAAGTAAGACAGGATTTCTCTGTTAACCCTGGCCTCTTGAGTGCTGGAATTAAATGTGTCCACCCTGTACCTGGCTCAGTTGTTTGTTTGGTTTTGGTCTTCTGGTCAACGTTTGTAGATCTGTGAGACTGTTACAACATTCCCATTGTAGAGCATTTCCTCAGTCTAATCTACTGCATGTCTCTAAAATATACAGGACTTGTCAGAAAACCCAAAAGAAAGCATATCTTTTCTTGTGTCTGTTCTTTTCTTTTTTTTAACTTAGTCTGTGGTGTTAGATATTTTCTTAGGTTGTATTTAGTTTCTTTCTGTTGCTGGATACTGTTCTCTTATACAGTTGCACTACGTCTTGTTGATGAGCATTTGTTTGTTTGGACTATTAAAATGTTGCTACAGGGTTAAGAATTGACATAAAATTCAGGTTTGGGTTTGATTTCCCAGTCCTAAAAATAACACTGCTGCTGTAATAATTTAATAATTATTCCCCTGGACCATAAGATAGGGTTTCTCTGTGTAGCCCTGGTTGTCCTGAAACTCACTTTATAGACTAGGCTGGCCTCGAACTCTGGGATCTGCCTGCCTCAGCCTCCCAGGTGCTAGGATTAAAGGTGGGTGCCACCAATCCTAGCAGCCATGATTCTTCACACAACTTTGTGTGAACATATTTTCCCCAAGTTTCTTCCGTGAAATAAGATGAAATTTGTTGGTTTTTTTTCTCTCTGCAGAGCTGGGGATCGGCATTACATGTGCTAGGCAAGTACCTTACAGCTGAACTATATGCATATACCCCAAACCTCTTGTTAGATCTTTATTACATGTCCTCTTTAAAATAAGATTAGCATTGAAAAAGGCTGAGGCTGTAACTTGCTAGCACTTGTCAGTCTTAAGTTCTGCAGAGATGGTAAGTGTGTAAAAATAGAGCATTATCTAAACGAGAGAGAGAGAGAGAGAGAGAGAGAGAGAGAGAGATATGCTGGGTGGTGGTGGTTCACACCTTTAATCGCAGCTCTTGGGAGGTGGAGGGCAAAGAATCTCAGTGAGTTCAAGGCCAGCCTGGTTTACAAAATGAGTTCCAGGACACCTAGGACTGTTACACAGAGAGATTCTGTCTTAAAAAACCAGAAAATAAATAAAATAGGGCCTTACCATCATCCCTCAGTCGTTTTCTTTTGTCTTTATTGTTATTGTTCAGGGAGCACAATACTTGGGAACCTGAGAAGAATTTGGATTGTCCTGAACTAATTTCTGAGTTTATGAAAAAGTATAAGAAGATGAAGGAGGGTGAAAACAACAAACCCAGAGAGAAGTCAGAAGGAAACAAAAGGAAATCCAGTTTCTCTAACAGTGCTGATGATATAAAATCTAAAAAAAAGAGAGAGGTAAGTTTTTCCCACCTCTCACTACTATCCTTTTGCTCCTGCTATGCAAAGAGGGGTTAGGTTTTTGTTTCCTTCTAAGGGCAGACCTGCAAGGTATATTGAACAAAAGCTTCCAAGGAAGTATACTGGTTTACTACAGTGACCCCTTCTGGCAAGGGAGAGCTGGTGTAGTACTGTTTCTGACTAAAGCGTCAAAACTAATGTAAAACTGTCTCCTTCATGAATTGAAATGTTTGTGTGTGTGTATCTGTGGGTGCTGAGGAGGCCAGAGGAAGGTATTGCAGCTAGAGTTACAGGCATTTGCGAGCTCCCTGAAGTGAGTGTTGGGAACCAAACTTCTGAGTCTAGAAGAACAACAAACTCTCTTAGCAACTCTCTAGCACCAAAAGGAAGACTCTTAATTTTTTTTTTCTTTTTAAAGAAAGAAAAGTAGCTAAGGAGATGGCTCAGGAGTAAAGGTGCCTATTCCAAACCTGGACAGCCTGCGTTCAAATCCTCATATTTGGAATGAGAAAATTGACTCCTAAAAACTTGGCCTTTGACCTCCATGGGCACCTACCTACCTGAACACACCAATAAGAAGAAGAGTAATAAATTTTTACTTTATTAAAAATACAAACAGAACTGGGCAGTGATGGCCCATGCCTTTAATCCCTAACTCAGGAGGCCAAGGCGGGCAGATCTCAATGAGTCTGATGTCAGCCTGGTCTACAGAGTGAGTTCCACAACAAAAACCCCATCTCAAAAGTCAAAAAAAGAAAGAAAGAAAGAAAGAAGAGAAAACCATCTTTTGTGTCTGTTTGCGGTTAGTTTGGTTGGAAATTAATTCTGAAGTTTGGCTTGACTCAGTTGCTTTTATCTTTCTATAGTAATATAAACACCATATTGCCTCTTTTTTCTTCTTCTGTATCTTTGCTTTGTGGTGTAACACATTTGTTATACCACTCTACCCCTCAGCTTTGCCTCTTTACGTTTTATTTCAAGGTGATGAAGAATATATCATACGCCTAAAATTTAATACAATAGAAGTATAAGTCTGTGTAGCATCCCTACATCAAGTCCCTGTTTATCTGCATTATACTTGTACGCTCATTTGTCTATACTGTTACTCTTGACTCTGACTACACCTTAAAGACACCCAGTGGGTATTTAAAAAATCTCCAGTATCCAAGATGAAATTGAGAATTCTGTGGAAGGACTGAGGCTTTGGGGTTCTATAAAGGTTTGGCCTCAGTCTTGGCCTCAGACTGGGGGCTTTTTCTGTCTGGCTCCTTTCTCTGGTTAATTTTATTTTCATAACCATTTATTTGTTTATTTGAGACAGGGTCTCTCTATGTAGTCCTGGAGCCTGCTATGTAGACCAGGCTGACCTGTAACTCAGAGATCCTCCTGAGCACTGGGATTAAAGGTGTGGGATAGTATGCCTGGCTGTAACCTTATGCCAGATTCTGGAAAGGTCTGAATATCGTTATCATAAACTATATTGATAAAGAATTTAAACAGTTTCCATTTTCTAAGGGAATAGGACTTGATGTTTTCAGTTCTTTAAATTTTGTTTGTTTTTTGAGGTAGGGGCTCACTATGTAGTCCTGGCCTAAAACTCACTGTGCAGACCATGCTGACCTCAGTCTCTGTCTATCTTTGCCTCTCAAATTTCCCTGTGCCCTTTTTAAATTTTATTTTATTTTATTTTGGTTTTTCAAGACAGGGTTTCTTTGTAGCTTTGGAGCCCGTCCTGGAACTAGCTCTTGTAGACCAGACTGGCCTCAAACTCACAAAGATCCACCTGCCTCTGCCTCCTGAGTGCTGGGATTAAAGGTGTGTGCCACCACCGCCCGGCTTTAAATTTTATTTACATATTTTAATACATTTTATTTTTTTGCGCCAGGCGGTGGTGGTGCCTTTAATCTTAGCACTCGGGAGGCAGAGGCAGGCGGATTGCTGTGAGTTTGAGGCCAGCCTGGTCTATAAGAGCTAGTTCCAGGACAGGCTCCAAAACTACAGAGAAATCCTGTCTCGGAAAAAAAAAATTATTTTTTGCATGTGTGTATGAGCATGTATACCACTACACATGTGTGGTGGGTGGAGAAAAAACTTGGGAAAGTCAGTTATCTTCTTTTCACCAGATTAGTCTGGTCTGTAGGCTTAGAGCAGGCACCTTTATTGACTAAGCCATTCATTCGTTCATTCATTCATTCATTCATTCATTCGTTAGCCCTTGTATTCTGGCTTGTGTCATTTGGTTCTTTTCTAGTCAGGTTGATATAGCAGAAACAACACAATTAAAGACTTTTAGCTGTGTATTTGTGTGAGTCAGTAAACAGTTCTTCAATTCAGTAATCTGGCTTAGAGTCCCAGCCACTTCAGAGGACTTCATGTCTGTCTAGTTCTGGAGCTGCTGACCTTGAAAACAACCTCCACACATCCTTCACATCAGTTGTCTGGGGCCCCTGGTAGCGTTCTCAGCATCCTAGCAGCTGTCAGGTAGACAGCTGGCATGATAGGTAGTAGCCAAGTGTTTTTAAGGTATGGAGGAGATTACATTTCTTTAGACCACTGCAGAAGAGATTTCCTAGCTGGTTTTATACCTGATTTAAGATTACTGCCTGTGATGATTTCAGTGTTTGCCTTGCCTTGGCTCCTTTCAGCGGCTTGAACATTCTTTCTCCATTTCCCTCCTCCTGTAACAGGCTGTTTCCAGCCACCAGTAATGATGGATGACTTAGTCCCAGTGCCAGCATTCCAGCTGTGAGCAACTGTGTTTGCATCTGGGAACCTGTCCCCCTTAAGCGCCCCAAAGAGTCTGTGTCTTAAAAAGTCAGTATCTGTGATACAGTACCCATTGATCTATGACGAGAATTTCTTTCCTGTTGTGGCTTCTGGTATCTTTGGGGACCACCAGGACTGCGCAAACTTTTTGTGTTTCTATTTAAAATTTTTCATTTATTTGTTCAATGGGTCGGGGGGCATCATGTACCAGGAGGTCCAGGAACATGTGGGAGTTGGGTACTTTTCCATCCACCATGTGAGTCCCAGAGACCAAACTCGGGTTCTTAGACTTGCCTGCAAGCCCCTTTGCCCACTGAGCCATCTTTTGATGGCTGCTTTTGATCTCAAAGGAAAATAAGACGATCTGAGAGATGTTAGGAAATCACACACCCAAGATTTGGTTCGTTTGAAATATCTTAAGGTTTTTGTGTGTGTGTGTGTGTGTGTGTGTGTGTGTGTGTTGCTGATGAGTGAGTTTTCAGTATCTCAAGTCTAAGTCCAATCCCAGTTAATGCTAACAGTGTGTCTGTGGTACAAAGGACTGAGCAGACCAGGGGCTCTCCTGCCAAGTATATGCAAACTAGTGTTTATGACCTTTGAAATTTTCCCTTTTCAGAGTATTGGTCTTGCATTCTTCTTGCCTGTTTTTTTTTTTAATAATATAGAGGACTGGAATATGAAAACAGTTGGTCGCTATTAAGATAAATAAGTCTAAAAGGTTATGGTTGAGAAAGCATACCTGAAGTTAAGAGAGTAAGAATGGGCTTAGGTGTCTCAGGAACAAGAACAGAGAGATCAGCCTGCAGTACTGAAGAGATCCTAAGGGTTAGGATAACAGGACTGACCAGATGGTTCTCCAGAGACTCTAGGACTTTCTAGACTTCAGGCCCTCTTTGGTCATTGCAAGGAATCCCAGGAAAGACACTGCATCTTCTTGTAGAAATATCTCTTGACATTGCTACTACTGGTTGATCTAGTATTATGTTTCTTGAGTTCTTTCAGAATTCAGAATTTTTCTGAATTGATGGTACAGATGATACTAACAAAGGCTGTGACTTGTTGTTCTGAGAAACCCTTTTTTGTTTTTATTCTTTGTACAAGCTCTAATCTCTCCTGTTCTATTTATAGCAGGGCAATGATATCGCTCGGGGCTTTGAGAGAGGACTGGAACCAGAAAAGATCATTGGGGCAACAGACTCCTGCGGTGACTTAATGTTCTTAATGAAATGGTGAGAGAGGACGGCCTCACTCTACAGTTGTGTTCCTTTGTTATGAAGAAAGAATGTAAAACTGAGAATTCCTAAGTCTAATTCTTTTTTTTTTTTAATATTTATTTTTTATTTATTTATTTATTATGTATACAATATTCTGTCTGTGTGTATGCCTGCTGGCCAGAAGAAGGCACCAGATCTCATTACAGATGGTTGTGAGCCACCATGTGGTTGCCGGGAATTGAACTCAGGACCTTTGGAAGAGCAGGCAATGCTCTTAACCTCTGAGCCATTTCTCCAACCCCCCCTAAGTCTAATTCTTAACTAACACCACTGTCACTGTCAATATTAAGTAGGGATTATGGTTCAGAATGGGTTTGCGATATTGTCAGGCTTTGTTATTATTGTTTCATATACCTGCATATCAGAAAAATAAATTTTGGGTAAAATATTTGTAGCCATTTCCTAAACATCTGTTTGCATAGAACTGAATTGTTTCCATGGGATAAGGGGCTGGGTAAAGCTTATTCCCATCTCTGAGTGCTAGGATCACAGAGATGGCTAAAAGAGAAATTAATTTAAACAAAGGACGTTAAGATTAATGGCTGAATAAAGCACAAATTACTTTATCAATGATAGTAACTTCTAGAAGAAAGTGGAGTACTTCCTTTTCCTTTCTCCCTCCTTTTCTGACAGGGTCTAATGTAGCCCAGGCTGACCTTGACTTCAGTGTATAGTCTAGGATGTTGAACTCATTCTGTCTCTATCTCCCCAGGGCTGGAGTTGCAGGATTACAGGCATGCCTGACTGGCTTTTTTTCTCTCCCCTGTTCTTTTCCTTTCCCCTCCATCCCCTTTTCTTTTTAAAATTTTTGTTTCATTTTATTTTATGTGTATGTGTATTTTGCTTAAATATGTATGTATGTGTACCATCTGTGTACAGTGCCTACAGAAGCCAGAAAAGGGCTCCGGAACCCCTGGGACTGACATTACAGTCCATTGTGAGCTGCCATGTAGTTGATGGGAACTGGGAACTGAGCCTGGGTCCTTCACAGTAAACCTAGCTGGCTTCAAACTCAGAGATTCATCTGCCCCTGCCTCCCAAGTGAACAGTAGTGTGTATTCTTAAATGCTGAGCCAACTCTAGCCTCTGGGGTGTTGGATCCCCTTGAGCTAAAGGGAGAGACAGTCGTGATCCACTGTGTGAGTGCTAGGCACTGAACCTGGGTCCTGTAAGAGCAGCTGTCTCTTCAGCTTTTTCTTTCTTGTTTACTTTTTGATGTTAAAGATCAAATGCAGAGGCTCCACCACTGTTATACCTCCGGCCCTGTAAAGATCCCTTTTACTTTTAGATCAAAGTGTAAGGAAGAGATCAAGCCAGCTAAATTCAAATAATGACGTTCAGACAGATATCTTCAGTCTCACTAATGTCCTTTCTTTCTAGGAAAGACACAGACGAAGCTGACCTGGTTCTTGCAAAAGAAGCTAATGTGAAATGTCCACAAATTGTGATAGCATTTTATGAAGAGAGACTGACGTGGCATGCATATCCAGAAGATGCAGAAAACAAAGAGAAAGAAAGCTCGAAGAGCTAAAGGAGGGTGGTCTCTGCCGTTTCTCTTTGTATATACCACGTTCACCTTCCTGCCTCCTCTCCCTTCTCCTTCCCTTTCCATCCTAAACACATCCATAAAAGTATGTGCTCACCACTGTGCTTCATGGAGAGGTGTTGGTATTGGTTCTCTTGTAATATAGCTGACGGTTGGACCCATAAGTGAAACTGTGAAACCAAGCATTTACATGCTGTGTGTAATTCCCAGTTTTTTCTTTACCCTCATCTTTTCCTTCTGCTCCCCTGTTACTTTTTAATCACCTTAGAGTCATGAATTTTTGAGGCCAGTTGCTTTTTAGGCTGGGGGATTTTGTTACAATGGTGATGACTTCAGTTTCTTGATTGTTATTAGAATGTACTGATGACCAGCTGGCCTTTGTTTTGACGTACTGAGGTGGAAAAGATGTTGTCCTTCTTTTAGAAAGCCAATAGCAGTGGCCTACTTGTATGTTTTCCAGTTTCATTTAGCTCTGCCAGGACAATAATAGGGTTCTTGGTGTGTTCTTCTGGGCTGCCCCTGTCCGTTCTCACTTACCCTCTTGTAACAACTCTGTCTTTCTGAGAACTTGAAACTTTACATTTAAATCTGTCAAGGCACTCTGTTTAGCCCTCAAACGTTTTTGGCCTTGTTATTGTTCCTGCTTCTGCTCCTTTTCAGTGGATGAGTTTGTCATCAAATGACAAGATGACTGTGGAGTCTGAGCTGCAGTGCAGGAAGACGGGTGGGTCGGTATCGCATGGTTTGTATGTGTGCTTTCCTTTCATCCCTCATATTCAGACTATATTTATGTAGGTGTGAGTGATTGCCTGGTGCTTGCTTGTGCCAAGGTGCTGGGCACCCTCTAACCCTGCCAGTTTCTATGACCTCCCAAAGCTTCCTGTTACCAAAGCGGCATCAGCAAATTCACCTCTCAGTGGACTCACATTCCCTTCCGTGCCATTATTTTCAGTTGTGAATTCATAGAGAAGCTACTAGCATAGTATCAGTTTTTAAATGCTCACAATAGTACTAATCTGTAATTTTACCGTCTCATGACAAAGTATTAATGTTCTTTGCCTTCTCTGCTCTCAGACTTTTAGTTGTATCTTATTTTTAAAACTGTGTTTTCATAGAAGACTTATCATCTCAGAAAGTGTCAGATCTTGATACTAGCTTTTTGATACAACCTTCTCTCAAAACAAACTTTCTTTTTTGGTTTACTCTTGCTTTGCTATTCTATTGAGAAAATTTTCTGGCTTTACTTTGCATTTCTGTCCTTTGAGAAATGTTCACCTCCTCTTCATTCTTGTGGTAGTTGAGGAGGCTGGAGAATCAGGACTGGGAGTGGGGAAGGATTTGGAGCTCAGTGCTCTTGTCCTACCTTGGAGCTCAGTGCTCTTGTCCTACCTAGTTCCACACTGAGGAAAGAAGAGTAAATGCTGACTTCATCAGCTACTGAGGCTGCTCCTGTTGTTGCTTCTGATTCTTAAAACATAGCTGTCTAGCAGGAGCATCCAGCCTTTTCTGGATTATTATTCATAGTGATGAGAGAAGAGGGTGGAGAACTCCAGGCCACAGATGAGCCAAGTGATATGCAAATCGTAGACCCATTCATAGCTTTTGTTAACATTGCTTTCCTGCCTAGCTGCTGCTTGAATTCTGTGTGCTTGTATAAATTATGTCAACAATTATATGGCACAGTTGAGACGGCAGCTATTGTAGTGAGGTGACAGACCAGACAGTGAAGCTTTGCTTTAAGTCAGCCAGGAAGACCCTGTGAATGGTGATGTGGTCAGGGAAGGGCACCAAACCCATACCTCGGTTTCTCCCTACAGTCCATGTTCTCTGAAGGAGTTAGAGGCTAGATCAAGTGCTGCATCAGTGACTTTGTACTTACTGTGGTTGAGAAAGGGAGTGGTGGTTAGAAAGCAGTTTTTCATGCAGGCAACCAAGGATGCCTGGGTAGATGAAAACCGGACAGAGGTGATCTGAGTCTCTTGATGGAAGGAAAGGACAGTCAGTAGGTAGTAGACTTGTAAATTGGGGTGGTCAAATTTTTTAAAGCAAAGTCTTAGCCTGTGGGCCAAACAACAGTGCTATTTGGTACTAAGGCTGCTTCTAAGAAGCCAGGCCTGGTGGAATAAGCATACAGCCCCAGACTGATACAGGGGTGTTGTATGTTCAAGGCCTGTTGGGAACCTTTGATGAGACCATGTCTCAAAATAAAAAGGAAAAAGAACCAAGGCTACAGTTGAGAGTTCAATCCCTTGTAATTCAAAAAAATCAAGAGAAGGCCCTGAGAAACCTAGGGTGCATAATTGCTGAGACAGCTAATGGTGTTTAACAGAACCTAGCACTGTTGATACACATTACCCTGCCTTTTCTGTCCTCAGTTCATGGTTTTTTGCTAAGTATTACCAAAATATTCTTGTTTTCTTCTTAGTACTTTTGCTGGTTATATCTAGAAATAAAGAACTGTATTGTCTTCAGCCCTCGGTGTGAAGAAGCCAAACACCTGCCTCTAGCATTTGTTGGTGCCAAGTAGCTTGCTTGTTTCTGCTGGAGAATGTGACAGCTTTGGGCAGAAGAATTTCCTGTAGATTTCTTCCCTGTAAAGAGTGAACAGCCAAAGGTGAAACACTCCTTAACACCTAAGTAAATTTTCCTGTGTTAAATCCTTTCAGAACTAGTTTTGTGGTACTAGGAATTGAACCTGGGGCTAGCTTAGACATGCCAAGCAGATGCTCTACCACTGAACTGGTATCGTTATATGCCCCGTACCCCGACACACTCCATTTTGTTGTTACTGTGTTTGGTTTTAGTTGGTTTGTTTGGCAGGTTGGTTGCCTTTTTTTCAATACAGGGTCTCTGTAGCCCTGACTGTCTTGGAACTCTATAGAGCAGGCTGGCCTAACCACATGATCCACTTACCTCTGCCTCCTATGTCCTGAGATTTAAAAGTTACCTTGGCCTGTTGTTGTTTTTGTTTTTTCAAGACAGGGTTTCTTTGTGTAACAGTCCTAGCTGTCCTGGGGCTAGCTAGCTCTTGTCTGGCTTGGAACTCATAGAGATCCGCCTGCCTCTGCCTCCCAAGTGCTGGGATTAAAGGTGTGTGCTACCACCACCCGGCTCTGTTGTTTTAAAGACAAATTTCGTTTACCAGGCTAGCCCCAACTTGTGAATTCTTTTGTTTGTTTGTTTTGACACAGGATTTCTTTGTAGCTTTGGAGCCTGTCCTGGAACTAGCTCTTGTAGACGAGGCTGGGCCTCCAAGTTCCTCCTGCCTCTGCCTCCTAAATCCTGGGATTAAAGGCGTGTGTCACCACCTCCGGGCCTGACCTTGAATTCTTGATCCTTCTGCTGCTTCCACCTCCCAGTTTTTAGGTACGAACCTTTAATCCCAGCGTTTAGAGTTGAATCTCTGAATTGGAAGCCAGCCTGGTCTGTATAATGAGTTCTAGGCCAGCCAGAGCTGCATAGACCCTATCTCAAAAGGAATATAAAGAAAAGGCTACTTAGACCAGCTTTGAATTTAGGGGTTTTTTGTTTGTTTGTTTGTTTTTGGGGTTTTTTTTGTTTGTTGGTTTGGTTTGGTTTGGTTTGGTATCAGGATATCAGTTATGTGATACCATGCCTAGCTCAGAACATTTTTTTTTTAAAGTTACTTATTTTATGTATATGGGATTTCTGTCTGCAGATGGGCTGTTTCCCTAGGAGAGTACCATATCCCCTGGGATAGGAGTGAGCCACTCTGTGGGTGTTCTCTGCAAGAGTAGTTGGTGTTCTTAATTGCTAAGTCATCTCCTCCCCAGCCCCTCAAATTATGTTTGTTTTTGTTTGTTTGGTTTTGGGTTTTGAGGCAGGGTTTCTTTGTTTAGCCCTGGGTGTCCTGGAAGTCACTTTGTAGACCAGGCTGACCTCTCACAGAGATTGACATCTGCCTCCTTAGTGATGAGAGTAAAGGCATCGTGCACCACCGCCACCTGGCTAGAAGCATCTTTCTAATGCTGAATTTCTTTTCTCTTTTCCTTTTCCCTTCTTTTCTTCCTGCGTAGTCCTAGATGTTTCTTACTGGGCTGGCCTTCTAATAAGCATGTTGCCAAGTGTATTTTGCCAGGTGTACACAAAAGCAGGAGTGAACTGGGTAACTCACCAACTTTACGTTGTCCAGTTCACACTTCCACATTAGCATACATCAGTATTGATTTCATTCAACAAACATTTTTGGCTCAGGATATAAAGTTCCAACACCCTTGCCCCTTGGAGAACTTTGACAATGGTGGTGTGGGATGAGTTGATTGTTACAGTTTTGTATAATAAATACTGCACATGCATATAATTTCTGATGGAGCAGAACAAACATGTATATAAGGAGAAGTCTTGGGTGGGCAATTTAGTGTAGAGTGCTGGTGGGGCATTCATGAAGCCCGGGTTCCCACAGGAAAAACCCTGGAGTAGAAGGGTGCCATTAACTGGTTCATCTATGAAAAAGAACTATGGTCTTGGATTAACTGAGTTAACTGGCCATGGGAGCATTGCAGAAAATAAAACTGAGAAATGGCTATCATTACCAAGAGGACACAGATAAAGTAAACATTGAGAACCTTTAGCTCGTTTGGACTCTGCCAAAACACTGATGACTGTGGTCACTTTGCTTGTGCACAGCATCATCTGCATTGCAGGTGCCGTGTGGTGCTGTGTTCTGGGTCCTTCTGGATATTTATTCTTTGTGGGCATTTTAGCAAGTTATTCATACTCCTCAATTTTTCATCCCTTTTGGAGAAATCAGCTTAGGGGATGGGATGTCCACCTCTGGGTCAAGCACTGCCAGAATCAGTCCTAAGCAGCACCTGTGTCACCCACGTAAAAACCTGCCCAGAAATGCGTGTCCTCCAGGGGGTGCACCAGGAGGCCTTCCTACTTGAAGGTCTCAGGTAACTTGAGAGCAGAAAGGAAGGATCTTAACTCTGCCTGGATAACTGACCTTGGATGTCAGAATTCCCAGGAATTCAGCCAACTTCTACAAGTTAAAAGGTGAAGTTTCTTGTTTCTTTTTTGCTTATGCTGAAGTTTATGAATTTTAATCTACCTCATCTTATTTTTATATTGCCACTTGAGTATCAAGCC